AAGACATCAAGCTCACGGTGCAATGTGCATTTTTTTTAAGCGAGAGAATGCAATAGACAGATGAAAAGGTGGCCTGGGTTTGAATAATGGCGTTGTTATGTGTTTTAGACATTTTGCTAAACCAAACTGTTACAGGAAGTTTGGCAAGTTGTTTGGCACAGCAAAGGTGATTATTTGGCGACGGTCGCTGTTGACGACATCGCGGCATCTGTGTATATCCACCAGTTAAGCAGAGCGAGATCGCAGGTCACCTTTTTTCTTGCATTTCGCTAGTTTCATCTCACTCCAACTTACCAAAAGTAATTTAGTGTCCATTTACGAAACGAAAAGGTCATGTCCAAGTTGTCGCTTTCCATCCGACACTTCCGCGATTTTTTGTGGCCACCAAAATACATGTCAGGTAAGCACTCAATATCTTATCAGCAAGATGAGTGACTCATGGTTTTTGTTTAGGGTTTACGATTTGGGTCGATGTCAGCTGGTTAAGAAATGCATCACGGGCATCAAACACATTGGTGCTATGATTCCTGATGTACAAGGAGAGGTAACAATAGTCTGGTTTTGCTTATACGGGCTGAAGGATACACTAGCGATGGATTTAAAAACAGATGGCGTAAGAAGTTGAGTTTTTTCTGTTTCAGAACCTCTTCGTTGGTGGATTGGACCGCAAGTTTGTATGGTTAGACCTGCAGTTATCAAACAAGCCCTGGAAGAGTTTCAAACACCACAATTCCGCGATCAGAGGAGTGGCTTACCACAACAGGTAGACAGCCTTTTACCGCAGCAGCTTGTAGTCAATGTTTATCATTTTTTTTTCTCCTAGATACCCGCTACTAGCAACAGTATCGGATGATGGCACTGCTATGGTTTACTATGCCCGGATACATGTTGACTCGTTCAAAGATAATGAAATCTACCCAGTTAAAAGGTTGAGAGGTCACACAACGGTAAGAATATGCTTTGTAGATGTTTGTGGTGTCCGTGGAGAGGATTTCCCTTCATATTAAGGTTGATGGATTGAGCATGCTGGACACTGTGTGGCATCCGACCCAACCGTGGTTGATAACAGCCGGTGCTGATGGAACTATAGCGTTGTTCAGTTACTGAGTATGTAAAAAAAAAACTTGCTGTTGGACTGTTATTCTTTGTTAGAAATCGTTATGCGCTGTTTTTGACGTGATTACATGTATAATTTTGCTGCATGTTATCCAAAATGTTCTATTGTTGTTGTTATTGTTACGGAGGCAGATATTGTATGAAGAGTAGACCCCAGTAGTTATAGGATTCGTTGCTCACGGCCATTTTTTAACCAGAAATCATTGTTTGTTTTATCGGTGTCAGTCCAAGATTCGTCTACTTTAAAGTTATGACAAAAAGCTTTTTCTATTGCCAAACAATGGAAGACATTAAGAGAAGATTGCCGTCAAACTAAGGCGTACTGGTTTCATCGTACAACTCTCTCATCTTCGTGGTATTGATGTGAGTAACTCATAACATGTTCTGCGGCAGTTGAGTGCGTGCAAAATGAAAAAAAAGCCTCGTTTGAAACTGAAGGCTTCGGCAATGAGAGATTCTGCAATGCAAGTGCGTCGGTAGATTCCGTACAGCCATCCCGGTAGTATGATTCAAGGCTGTTCAGCGGCTATGGATATCACGGACGCTTCGTTGTAGCTTTTGGCCGGCCGAGGACCTGGCCGCTGGAGCTATGACACTTTCTTAGAGACAGCCTGCACACATTACAACAGAACGTCTTACAACCTTCAATGGGAAACATTGAAGCTAACTTGTCATTTGATTGGCAGTAGGAAGCATGCATAAAAAAGTGTGTCATGGCAGTATGATAACGACATTCTGAGATATATGGTAAGCAGAATATAATTTGCTCTTTAGTCCCGCGCTGGGCGTTATGGGTGTTCGCTTTTCTTCCTTATGGAAGTCGAATAGGAGCATCTGACTGCAATCGGCTATCTGCTCCATCAATTTAGGTTAGAGAAACTCAACACAGAAATCTTGTGATGCACTAGGAGGATGTGTGGACGAAAGAAAGCGCAGATTCTTGTATAAAATCGGAATTTCAGTAATCGGAAGTTGTAAAATAAGCCTTACTGACGCAAAGTATTTTCTAAGGTTCAGACGAGGCCCCTCAAGCGATTAATTACACATACTCACAACCACGCCGCTCGTGTTATGAATTTGTATAGTCTGAGGGAAAATATTGTTACCCACGACTTGCCCTATGTCTGCTCTACTCTTGTTTTGCGCACCATGGCTGACATGTTGTCAGCATGCAAATATCGTTGAATCGTTGACCGCACGGACTGATCACTGCGGAGCACGTGCAGCGTGATAAAACCTTGCCCCAGTACAAACCCACCATCGTACAGTACGTTTCAGTGCGGAGTAAGCGAAGCTTTCCAAGCGTCCGCATCGCTGGAGGCTTTGCGAGCGGACACTTCTAGCATCTTGCCAAGTAAAGACTGAGGGAGATGAAGAGACGCAGGGATGGGTTCTTGGCGCGATGTGAC